AGAATGTGGGCAGTCAGTGAAGCATACTGGGAACTCCTATGGCTGCAGTAGCCAACATGGGATCATTAACCAGTGGAGACTGTATGACCATACACAATCAACTTCCTGTGACCTATTTTAGCAACTTCTTTGTACTGACTAATCTATTGGAAGGTGAATCACAAATTCAGCAAGAGACTGTGTCCTGGTGACCTCCCTTATTCCAACCCTGCATGAATATTTCCTTCTCTCCTGGCTTGGGGGCTTTTGAGAAACAGCATAATTGAAAAAGCAGTCATTTTAGTACAAGTTCCAAAAATTTGTCTTTTTTTTTTTTTTTGAAAAATAGAAAAAAGAGAACTGAAGCAGCGGCACAAAGCTCAGGATGAAGGACCCGACTGCAGCGTCTGTCTGGCCACAAAGAAGCCCCCGCTTGAGGCCTTCTCCTCAAGTCCTCAGAACAAGAAAACACTGCCTAGGAGTGGACCGGGTCACCAGAGCAGCACCTACAGAAACAAGAGCGCAGCTGACCACTGGCCTCGCGAAGCAGATGAAAATGGGAGCGCAGTAAGGGAGGAAAAGTGAGTTCCATTCTGCAGTTTGCTGAGTTTCAGGGCTCTACAGCGAATACAAAAGATTCCTTTAATTTTTCTATTTAAAAAGTTACCACTGCAGTTCATGCGGCAGTAGACTTACCAATTACACAGAAACTCACTTGTTCAAAAACTCTAACGTCCTTGTTTCTGTCGAGATCTTTAATTATTGATCTGAATATAGCAATTAGTTCCTGCACAAGTATGAGTCAGATCCGCTCAAACACACCCCAGAATGGAGCAGTTTTAGGCTGGGAAGGACTGCAGAGATAACTGAATCTGTCGCAGCAGGTGTGCAGAGAGACTAAGAGGGTTTTTATATGGTGGGTGAACCAGAAGTAGAGCTGGGGTCAGACTCCTGAGTCTTAGTTTATATTCTTTCTAGACAGTCTCGTCTTTATCTACCATGTGCCTTCACTTACAGGTGTGTGTGTGTGTGTGTGTGTGTGTGTGTGTGTGTGTGTGTGTGTGCATACAATCTATTATCCATATATAAAAACACATCTTGCTGGGCGGTGGTGGCACAGCCTTTAATGGCAGCACTCAGGAGGCAGAGGCAGGCGGATCTCTGCAAGTTCAAGGCCAGTCTGGTCTACAGAGCAAGTTCCAGGACAGTCAGGGCTGTTTCACACAGAAACCCTGTCTCAAGGAAGAAAAAAAAAAACCTATCTAACAGCCACATGTTCAATGGATTTAAAGTGTGTTTGTTTGGATTTCATTCTGTGATGGCAGGACTCTACCTTCTTCATCCTCTGAGGAATTCCTCCTGAGTGCACTGTTCCTCAGGGAATAACAAGACAGCGACGCAGGACAGTGGAAGACATTAAGGACAGACACTCATCTATATTCCTTAAGAGCATGGCTTTATACAACTAAGATTAGTGCTTGGGCTGGAATAAATTTTTTTTTTCAGATTTTCTGGTTTTTCAAGACAGAGTTTCTCTGTATAGTAGCTCTGGCTGTCCTGGAACTCACTCTGTAGACCAGGCTGGCCTTAAACTCACTGAGATCTGCCTACCACTGCCTCCTGACTGCTGGAATTAAAGGTGTGTGCCACCATGCATGGCAGAAATCAGACGTTCTTATGATGGATCAAAGTCCTCAGAGTGGCTAAGCTGCCTGGGTACTGTGGACAGCAGGATTAGGATGCTGGGCCTTAGGAAGCTTTGGGCTCCACCACATATTTGAAATCCTGTATAATAACTGCTGCCACTTTGCCTTTTTAGGTCTGTTTCTTTTTATCATTTTATGACCTACCCTTACATTTATTAGCCAGTCATTCTCAGATAATGCACACCGTAATAACGACATTGGATTCAAGCCATACCCCATGGTTGGACCCCCTGAAGCATCCTCTCTCCACTAGTCCAGCCAACATTCCTTTTGAAAGAGTCAGCCCTGGCCTGCCTATGTCTGAGGCAATGCAGTCTCCAGAATGCACTCACAAGTATCTAAAGCCATGTGACAAGACCAGAAAGGTCAGCTCATACCTTACTGCCTCCCCCAGTGTCTGCTCTGCCACTGGGAACTCACCCTATGGGACAGCCGTGACCCCAGGAGATTGGCTGATTTCTGTGCCTCCAAATCCACGGGGTCAATTCATATCAGCTCTCTGCACAGACCAAGATGAGAACTGTATACTCCACAGAATGGATGATGAGCCTAGTCTAGAATGCCTTCCTACTCTTAGCCTAAGTATTAGAGGTCCCTGCTGGCCCCGGCACTTTACCTGGTAGGCAATAAAAACATAAAAATAAAAGCTTGTCTGAAAGAAAAGATGTGAGAAGCCTGCCATGCCTTTTGCCCAAGTTTGTCTATTCATGTTACAATGACCATGCAGTGGCTAAGATACGTCATTCTAAGCCTGCAAAGTTCGTAAGCTATAATTTCCTTTTCAAACTCACTACTTCTATTTCATTATAAATTAGTATTCAAAATTTTAAAACTCAAGAACTAGAGAATAACAATCACAAGTCAGGAGTGGTGGTACACACCTTTAAACCCAGCACTCAGAGAGATCTCTCTAAGTTCAAGGCTAGTCTGCTCTAAAGAGAGAGAGAGAGAGTTCAGGATAGCCAGGGTTAAACAAAGAAACCCTGTCTTGAAAAGAAATAAGCAAAATAAAAAAGAGTAATGATCACGGTTTGTCAGATGCTAAGGGGAAAGATCAGAGCATTAAAGATGCCAAGAATGCCCAATTCTTGAATTTATAATCAGAACAAACTAGAAAAATAAAGTTGGAAATATAATAACCTCTTCATCTGGATCCTGTTGAGGACCTACAAATGGCTAAGGTGACCTAATGACAAAATTCCATGTGAATTCTAACAGACAATCTACTAAGGCTATTTGCTAGTTGAAGAGTTTTCCTATTACATAAATGTAACAGATCAAATACAAAGTTATCAGGTCCTTCAGGCACAGGGGTCCCAGCGATGTGTTGTCTCCTAAGTCTCTAAATCAGTTGCCACATCCTTGCTTTACAATATCCCTTTCCTTCTGGTCCTACAGTCATAACCCCCCTAGCTGTTCTTGAAGATCTGTGAGCTTAGAACAGTGGTTCTCAACCAGTGAGTCACAACTCCATTGGAAGTCGCATCTCAGATATTTACACTAATTTATAACAGTAGCAAAATTACAATTATGAAGTAGCAAAGAAATAACTTCATGGTCAGGGATCAACACCACATGAGGAACTATATCGAAGATCCCAGCATTAGGAAGGCTGAGAACCACTGCTCTAGAAGGGAAGATGAGGAATGGCAAGTTGTGGATTTGACAGGAAAAGAGAGTCTTAAAGGGTGACTTTGTATTGTATGTGGAAATGTGGCATGTCATGGACAGAAACCTTGAATTCTCTTATCTACATTCAATCTGGTATCTTGTCTCAGATTATACTTACAAATTAACCTTACTTGTTAAATTGTTAAATATATCATTTGACTACCAAACAGGTATGGCAGGTATAGAAGCTAACTTAAAAGCAGCGGTAAAGGGACTACAGAGATTCCTCAGTGGTTAAGAGCTCATTGCTTCAGTTCCCAGCATCCGCATGGTGCTCACAATGGGCTGCACGCCAGCTCCTGGAGATCCAGGGGACACTACACTCACACAGTGCTCATGCATATATGCAGGCAAAATATTCCTGCACATAAAACTTAAAGTTTTTTGAATTAGCAGTGGAGCATAAAGGATAATAAAGGCTAAGAGGTAGCTAAGCGTGTTCACCTAGCAAGCCAAAATTGAATTCCTGGCACTACTAAAAACCTAAACAAATAACAACAAAAAATATATAAATGCATGCACATACACACAGAGAACCAGCCAGGGGCTGGAGAAGTGCGGAGGAAGCTGGTAGCAGAGCACTGGCCTAAATATATTCAAGGCCCCAGGTTCAGTTCAAAGTACTATAAAAGCATGAATGAACACACACACACACACACACACACACACACACACACACACCGAGCTGAGGTGAAGCCATTTAAATTTAAGAGTTGAGTAAAGAATCATCAGTAATAAAATTTGGTAGTCATAAAGTTTTTCTTTATCTTGAAGGAAAATGCTGTGGTAAATGGAAAGATGGCTTCTTATGTCACTTAGGAGAATATATGTGACACACAGTCTGACACATAGATGCACACATCTGTGTATAAACTGGAGGAAAATGATAAGCCCTACACCATGAGACCCAACTGCCACTGGCTCTTCTCTACCCTCTCCACCACATTCCCATCTCCTTTCCCCCCAACCTACAGGGCTGGGTATTGAACCCATGGCCTTGTTTATGCTAGGCAAATGTTCTACAATTGGGTTATACCTGCTCTTTCTCACCCGTGTTCACTCTATGAGTCTGACTATAATCTCTGTAACTTCTTCCGAATCTCAATGTCCTTCAGTTCATGTTCCCCACGAGCTCTTTTGGAGCAGTCTAGCGCACTGTGCCTTCTGCTTCTTCCATCGTCTTAGAGACACTGACACTCACTTGTATGTGGAATAAGACAAACATTTCAGTTGGCCATTCTGTCTCTCATTCTGTCTCTCATTCTGTCTCTCATTCTGTCTCTCATTCTGAGTAATTTCCCCAGACTTCACTGATGCCTGACCCCTTGAGTTGGGGCAGAGTCTCCACACACCTTAAAATGGGGTGAGGCTGATAAAGTCCAGGGTGTGACCTGGTAAACGTCTGATATGAATGAGCAGTACCACACAGTGCTCAGTATAAGAGTATTCTAACATAGACGATTAGGAAGACTTAACCAGAGTCGTAATTTCACTAACTACCTCCTCTGAAGACAAAAAGATAGCTGATCTGAAGCAAAGAACAAAATATTGGAGTGAGAAGCCAGGTGTGGCTACTGGAGAGTCGGCAGGTGTAAGGGAGACAGAGAAATGAGCAGCGTTCACTAAATCGGATATAAAACATACCTGTATTTCCTTGAGCATCTTCAATCTTACTGGGTGAATGCAACAGAAAAGATGGCCTGGCAAAGTGAGGGGCTTGAAGGGACAGCTGCTGCTGCTGCTGCAAAGGCATGGTGCTAAGGACTACCCGCCAGTCTACGTGGGTGACGTCGGACCTGGACCGAGCATGTCCTGGCTTGAAAGTCGTGGTCTCATCTAATAAGTCATTCACAGAGCGAGGTCTGTCCCTCCGACGCTGGCAGATGTTGAAAAAGTTGAAGGTTGATGCTTCTTTTTGTTCCATCCAGGAAAGGTTATCAGGGGCTGTCCCCCTCTGGACCATAAGCTGTTCTTTGGCAGGGAAGACATTTTGAGCTTTGGTTTCTAGGAGTCTGCTCTTACAGTGGTCCCAAATCATGGTCCCCTTGCCTAGGGAGGCAACATTTCTCAAAGCACCATTGTCTGTTATGTTACTGAGTACCTCACGCCCCACCAGTTCAGGGATTTCCTGAATCCCATAAACTTCTGCTTGCTGCACAGCCTTTTCCAGCTTACTATCGAAAGTACTAAAGAAGTCCTCGGTCACCTCTAAGGCAGGGCTGATGTCATCCACTTCCAAAGCTTCCATGACCCAGGGTCCAAGAGGTCTAAGTCTCCTAAACTGCTTCAGGAAAGGGTGTCATGAACATTCAGTCAACAGAGAGCAATGGTTCATCAATGCAGCTGTGGAAACAAGTGGCAATAACCTTCACCTGGCTGCCCGGAGAAAGCCAAGTACGGACATCTAGGAGGCTTATTCATGAGGCAGCAGGGCAGTATTTACCAAAGTGGTGCAGCACCAATCCTTGATTTCCTGGAAGAATACAAACAAGAGAGGTTGGCACACAGTGTACTGTGCTCTGTAGCACACAGTCTGTCCAGTCACTTTCCCTATTTACAGCTTCTTCTATGGCAGCCATGCACATACAACTGTCTACTGTCAGGAACACGCACGACTCTCTACTTTGTATGAGAACTAAGCAGCGCAGGGTAGAGCTCCCTGATGATGGGAAACAAGGCCAACTGCTTCTATTCACACAGAGAGGCCTTTGAGAGCAGTTGTAAAGAGCAAAAGTCTCTCATCTGTTGAATGAAAATAGTAAGCAAAAGATACGAGGGAGTCTGTGACTGGCGGTCTAAAGTCATGACTGCTTTCCCAACACTGAACTTACGCACGGTCTACTGGGTGAGAAGGCACAGAAGAAGTGGAGAGGGAGGCTGTGTTTTGACTAAACCTGAATGTAAAATCACCAGCCTGTGCGTACCTAGATTAGAAAGCCTATAATGACTCTCGCCCTTAGAATTTTCCGATTTTTCCAGGAAAAAGTTTCCAGTGCCAAACTCCCTGGCTTCCAGACTGGCCTTAGAGTACAGGTCTAATCTGAGATTAAAGGTCAGGGGTTTATGAACCTATGACGGAATTGGAAGCTGGGAAAAAAAAGCCTATGGCAAAATTATGGCCCAACTGGCAGGCTTTTAGTTTTTCTTTCCTCTGGATCTGAGGCACCAGACCTCATAGCTTGACCTGAGCAGAAAGAACGCTACATGAGAAGCGCTATCCCTCCGTGGTGGGTATAATTAGAGTAGACCTTGACTGTGATACCACCCACTACTGCAGACACAACCACATAGAGCTGTTTAAATTCAGCAGTCTAAGCTCCTCGGGCACACTGGCAGCACTTCACGTGCCCAGAAGTCACAAACAGATACCTGTATGTCTTTAGCAAAAGAATGAACAAAATTAGGAACATCTTTTTTTCCTCTGTACTGCTTATATGTAAGTAGGTAAAAACTATCAATACCATTATACATTGCTGAACAGGTAGAGAGATCTTTTAAAAAAAACTATGACGAATAAATTAATTTTTAGCTCTTAGGTCATTAAACAAGTATTTTTAAATCAATAGCACCAAACTATATTGCTTAGTATATGTACATTAAATTAGTATATATAAACTTCTATTTCTCTATATATTTAACAAGTTGACCTCAAATCCACTACAAAACTGGAAGTGATCCTGACCCCCAATTCCCCAGCCTCCAGCTCTGGGGTGTTAGGTGTTCCCTACCACCCTTGATTTTAGGTGATGCTGGAGATCAAACACGGGGATTCAAGTATGCCAGGCAAGCACTCTACCAACTGAACCCTAACCCAGACCCAAATCTTCCCTTTGGATATATCAGTGATAGACGGAGATCATGGGAACTGTGGCCAGCTTCCCTTATACAGCGGTGATGACTATGAACTAGTCTCTTCCGTGTTGTCTTAGACCAAGGTTTGGGGCTAAAAACGGGGTTTAGGTTTGTTTGTCCTTCTGAGTCTCAAGTTAAGCCTCAGTCTCCTGAATTATGTAACGAGTTTTAATAATTCTGAAATGTGAATTTTTTTCTAATTTCTTCTTGTATACCAGAGACTAAGAAAAAATACTATATTCAAATGAACATAAAGTACAAGATTCCCATTTACAGAAGAGATATCATCATATAGATCATTAAATTAATCTTCTAAGACAACCAGCATTCCTTTTTTTAACCTACCTACCATCAGATCCAGTGTGGAGGGGGTGTGCATGAGTGAGTATATGTGTGTGTGTGCATGCATGAGTGAGTGAGAGTGTGTGCATAAGTGAATGTGTGAGTGTGTGTGTATGTGCGTGCATGAGTGAGTGTGTGTGTGTATGTGTGTGGGGGGGTGTTCATGTGCATGCATGTGTGCGTTTTACTAAGGGACAAATCCAGGGCTTTACAAATACTGAAGATGTAATCTTCTTTATTTTATTTTATTTTATTTTATTTTATTTTATTTTATTTTTGAGACAGGGTTTCTGTGTAGCTTTGGAGCCTGTCCTGGAACTAGTTCTTGTAGATCAGGCTGGCCTCAAACTCACAGAGATCCGCCTGCCTCTACCTCCCAAGTGCTGGGCTTAAAGGCATGCGCCACCACTACCCAGCTTGAAGACGCAATCTTCAAACCATGCCAGTAGATGCTAGGGATCCAAACTCAGGTCCTCGTGCATGCACAGCACCCACCTATCAGCTCCTTTACGTGGGCTTTATGTTTGTATGTTTCGATGTTTTCTTCATTAGACTAGAGCCTCACCTTTTGAGGAGGAAGAACACAAAAGGAAGTACCACTTCCCTCACGTGGGAAGAATGTACCATCACCGGAGCCTACATGCCCGCATAAACCTCAATCGCCCTTTTCTTTAAGCATCTGCCACATTTCAATATCATCATTTAACTTCCCCACTGACTTAATGCTAGTGTTTCTTCTCTCATGATCATTTTGCTAAAGCACATTAAGATTCTCTGTCTCTCTGTCTCTCTCACACACAGATACATATTGAGACTCCATCCCTCACTGCACTGTCTGCTGTCAGAGTTAGAGAACTCTTACATAAATGCACGCTCTCACCACATCCTGGGTTTTCCTGTGCTGCAGTGACCAGCCAGTCTCACAAATCCCACTGTAAGCTCTGAGGACCCTGAAGGCCAGCCACAGTACCTTTACCCTCCCATACAATCACTACAGCAGCAGTTTTGGGGAATTCCTTTTCTCGACTTAACTTTTTGGGAATTGTATCTTTACTTATAGTCTACTATCTTTGAGTATACTTCACTGTCTATAATTGAAGATGTCTTAAAGGTTGCCTCATTGGGCTTCAAATTAACTATAATAATAATAGTAATAATAACAATAACAACAACAACAGCAACATACAGGTCAAAATATGAAGTGTTACTTCCTCTAACAAGTGAACTCCAGTGTGTGGGTGCAGAGTGGTGAGCTTCTGCACAAAGCTGGGAGTCGAAAGCTAATTAGAACTCTGTTCTAAATCTGGCTCAACCACACACTTGCTGGGGAGCCTGCGGCAAACCATTTAACCTCTGGGTGCCTTTCTCAGTTACCTGCAACCAATAAACTCTCTGGGATCAAATTGTTTTGCATGTAGATCACTCACTAGGTAGCTGATTCAGCATGCCTTTAACAATACAAACTGTCACACAATTATGGAGCTTCCACTGGATGGACCTCACCTCTGCATCAACTACGGGTTCCTGATCTCTCCCTGGAAAGACTCATAGGTCAACATAGGTAAAGTCTGGATCCAAAATCAATGACTTAATACTATTTTTCTTTCAAATGCAATGATTTATAGGACTTTATTTTTTTTATTTCTTAAAATTATTATTTATATATAAGTGAGTGTTTTGCCTGTATGTATATATGTCTGATACCACATGGATGTCTGATACTTAAGGAAGCCAGAACAGGGTACTGGATCCCCTGGAACTGGAGTTACAGACAGTTGTAAGCTGCCATGTGGGTGCTGGGAATCAAAGCCCGGCCTCTGGAAGACCAGTACAGACTCTTAACAACTGAGACACCTCTCCAGCCCCAATTACAGAATATTCATTCTGTAAAAGGAAGTATTTTCCCATTTACTATAGGAAGAAAAATTGAGGTCCATTTGCCAATGTGATAATCAAGAGTTCAAACCAAAGAATCCCATACATGCATGTAACAGGATGGAGATCAGGATATTGCTTTTTTTCTTACAAGGAAACCTCCTGTAATTAATTAGGCAAGGCTAATTAACTGGCTGAATACAGCAGTTCTTCCATACAGAGGTGGAGGCAGGGATGAGGAATACCATAGGCTGGTGTACACAAAGATGGCTGCCTGATCGCCTGAGCTGGCTGACAAAGGTGATGACTTCCTCCAAGTTATTTGTCAGAATGGAATGAGTGCTGAAAGGATCTGGAAACACGCGGTTTCGGAAACTGCTGGAGCGGGAAGAAAAACTCACTGCCAGAGACACTTCAGTCACGTGCTTATGGCAATCTCTCTCAGTCAGTACTCAGGGCTCTCACATGCTCTCCACCTTGGCAAACTTGGAGCTCACAGGGAGTTTTCTGAGTTCCACAATGTGATGGAGCCAGTAGAAAACCTGACCAGCAAAGTGACCTTTCTGAAGCACAAACCACAATGCTCTCTATGATTCTCCAGCACAGAGACAGTGTGAATACGCTGATGATGGAGCACAACCACACAGAGACTGTGAATACGCTGATGATGGAGCACAGCCATGCCCACAGCAGCAGCACGATGCTCTCTATGGTTCTCCAGCATAGAGACAGTGTGAATACGCTGATGGAGCACAGGCACACCAACAGCAGCAGATCAGGGCACTCGGGGACATGCAGCTTGGAACTCTTGTGGAACCCCACTTTATAGGCTTGGAGTGAGCATGAAACGGCCTCATTGTATCCAGACTCCAAGAAAAGACCACCACTATGTCGTGAGATGAGCACTAGGGGTCATACAAAGTATTTACAGAGTGACTAATGCTCAAAGAAATTCTGGTACATAATGATAGATATGACATGTTGCAACTCAGGGAAAGAAAATGAATAGTAAAGGGTGGTTTGCCCCATATTCAATTGGAATCAAGATTGTACAGTCAATTTCAGTACCAACGTCTCTGTGAATATATTCTCTAAGGGCAAATACCCATAAATATTTGTGAAGTGGAACTTAACAAGGAAGATGAAGGGAGAGGAGAAAAGGAGATGGGTCTGCTACTCATTCCTTATGACTGACCCAAGGCACAAGCCATGGAACTTCTACAATCATATAGTGGCCTCCTCCTTACGTAGCTGCTACTGTTTTTCAAAGCCCACATCCTCCTAGATGATATTAGTCAGTCCTTCATAGAAGCTTTGCCCAGACTTCCCTGGTGTGACTAATTCTTTTCTAATCTATTGTGTGTGGTACCTGTATATGAATCCACGCATGCTCTACAGTATGTGTACAGGTCAGAGGAAAACTTAAGGGAGTCAGTTCTCTTCTACCATGGGGTTCTGGAAATGAAGTTCAGGTCATCAGGCTTGGCAGCAAGTCCCTGTGCTCACTGAGGTGTCTCTCCAGCCTGTGTGGTTGACCTTGATTATCAACTTAATTGGATGTAGGAGACAGACCTCTTTCTCAGTCTAACAGCATTTACAGAGAGGTGGGAAGACAAACCTATAATGAGGACAGCATCATCCTATGTGCAGGGGTCCCAGAGAGAATTGAACAGAGATGGTGAAAGGAATTCCAGAATTCATCTCTATTTCCTGGATGAATGCAGTGTAACCCAGCTTTTCACGCTCCTGCTGATATGACATCCCCAACCATGATAGACTATACTACAAACGATGAACCAAAATAATCCTTCCTTCCTTTCCTGTGTTGCTTAATGGTATCTGATCACACATTGAGAAAATAATTAACGTACCTGGGCACTCTACTCTTCAACTTCTCTCTTATGTCTCCTGAGGCGGCTTCACTGACTGTAGCTACATAATAAATTTAAGTATGCTTGCAATTTCAAACATCTGCCTTCATTCTCAGACTCAGAACCTGACTTCTGGGCCCTAGGTATCCAGGTAAGTGTAAGAAATTTCTACGTGGCCTACTTCATGGCTAAACTAAACTCGTGTATCTTAACCACACTGAATCTTCATCTGTAATATTAGCTGAGTGTCCCCTATAAACCCTTTAGCCTTCTGTATCCTTGGCTCAGTCTCTTTCCCCAGTGTTCCCATTCTTCTGTATGCACCTCTTTTGCTCTGAACAAAATCACTACTGATTAAATTTTATGCTTTTTAAACTCTAAGTCTTTGTTGGCAACCATCAGTAAGCTACTCTCTGCCACTTCTACCCATTAAACTTCTATCAATTCTTCAAGCGCCGCTCGCCAGCCACACCTCTGCACATCTTCTTTGAGCCCTAAACGTATCTTTCTTTAAACTGCAACAGTATACCTCTGGTTCCTCTCTCACATCATGTGCTGATCTTATTTCCCGGTGACTCGGGATTTCAGCCCTCTCTAATGCCAGCACGGAGATGTCCCCTTTGACATACCTCCACCAATCAATCAAAAGTATTTTCATCTCTGCACTTGTTTAATATTTTCCACCTGCAAAATCTTGCAACGTTTGATGTCCCAAGATGTTTTTTTTTTCAGATATCCAGCTAAATATAAGCATACAACACTTCAAATGTCAGACTACTCTTCTACCAAAAGCAGCAACATTATTATTCTGTACGTCAGCCACTGGACTAGATAGTCCATTTTCATAAAACCACCAGGATCCTAATGTGCCCAGCTCTTAGAAACAAAGCAGACAGGCGGACTTCAGTTCTGTAAATGTCTGAAGCTGCAGGTTTGATGTGTCCCTTCTTCCCTTGCTTCCACCACAAGGAACAGTGATAAAGTATTAAGAAAATGAATTTCTCCAGCAGCCTCCTCCCGAGACTCCAGTGGAAAGCGACGACTTCCGCCACAGGAGCCTCCGGTGCAGGACATAACCCTAGCTATGCAGAGGCAGAGGCAGAGGCAGAGGCAGAGGCAGAGAGGCAGAGAGGAGCAGAGAGGGGCAGAGAGGCAGAGAGGCAGAGGCAGAGGCAGGACGTCAGTGAGCTCAAGGCCTGCCTACACAGGATCCGAGACCCTGACTCCAAATTAGAAGTAAAAGCTGAGCCAGTGATACAGTCCGGTTGTAGAGCTCTGCCTAGCATGCCCCAGGCCCTAGGTCCAATCCCCAGCCCCATCTATGTTGCTGGAGTCAGCCCCTAACTACAACAGGGAATAACTGCAAGGTGCACCTAGGGACAGACCACAGAGCAACAACAAACACAACAAAGAACCCCAAATGTGCATCATACCCCAGAAGGGTTAGGGAAGTGCCTTCAGACCTAAAGATTATCATCAGCTCATAGACCTATTTGGAATTTTCTAAACACAAATTGGGTTGGGGGTATTTCCAAATATAAGCTGCAATTTCTATCATTTTTTCTCACATAACACCTCAACATTCAGTTAACCTGTAGGGGAAATTACACGGTTTAATTGAAAATACTCATTTTCCACATGCACAGTTTAGACTATGGTTTATAAAAAGTGCTTGGTGAGCCTTTTAATAAATACTTACAGCGATCTCAACAGAGAGAGGTGGAAGGAGTAATGGGACTGTTTCACCATGATGAAAGAGACCAAAATGACTCATCTATTGTCAGCTGAAGGCCCCATGGGGAAGACAAAGAAGTTCTGAAATCCCTGTCTAATTAACAAATCCTGTGGGCCACCCAAGTTCAACCTTCCAAACCATCTTAAAGCTCTCAGGTGCCACAGTGGCAGAACCATAGCTAAGACTGCAGCCATGCCCAGAGCCGCCCAGCTCGCTCAGCGGGACAAGGAAGGCAATGAGCTCAGCATCAACAGTGGGCCCAGGAAGGCTCCTGTCCCAGTGCTGTTTTCCCAGTAGTGACATCAGAGAACAGCAGCCCCGCTACGGCTAGCTCACAGCTGAGAAGAAGGGCAGATTATATATGTAGATTTTCCTGGAGGATCTAAAGCTATGATCAAGCACTCAAGCACTACTACAGATGTGGAGGCAGAAAACACAATCTACACTTGAAGGGCTGAACAACTAGGGGACACGGGACAAAATAACGAGATGTATGAGAACACAAGAAAGTCAAATGACAATGATGTGTACACAGGGCTTCTTCCAGGAGTAAATGTTAGACCCTAAAAACCTGTAAGTCCCACCTGTCTAACGTCCAAAAAACCTCCTGGGGTTCTGGGAAGTGGTGGTTCTTTGAAAATAACAGCAAAGCCTCGTGGGACATATGAGCCCTGACAACACATGCCTGGGGTCGCTCAGCTGGAAAGTTTCCAGGAATGGCCCAGACCAAATTTCATCTTGTCAGTATTTAAAATTTTAATAAAAAGCTTGCTGAATTTGGCTAAAATGGTAGAACAGATTTTTCTCTGGCAATTATCAGGAATAATAGAAGCCAAAGACAAAAGAAACAAACACATAACACACCCACACATAAATAAACAAAAAATGGAATTTGAAAAGTTACCTAGCTACCAGCTTCGGGGAGCTTAGAAAGGATGTTATGAGATGTACTTGTTTTTGTTTTTTCTTTCTGTTATATTTTAATATGATAAAAAGCGAGGCTGGGTCTTTGTTAATGTTTCCTCAGGAGTTCCAGACCAGTGACCAGGTCTATGCAAAAGGTGCCTCACATTGTCTGAAAGAACAGACACAGTCAATGGAGGCAGGCGGTGTCCACGAATTGCCTTTCTCCTTTTAGGACTTAATCTAAAACACTGACCTTGGCTACCAACAGCCTCTGAGCAGTTAGTCAGGAAGCGAACACAGCAGACAAGGGCAGACAAAACACCCTCTCAGACTTCAAAGATAAGAAAAGATAAGCACAAATAACAGAAAGACTCCAGCTCTGTACAATGTCAAGGCCAGAAAATCCTCCTCCTGTCATTTAGAGCGAGGAAAAGGTTTGAAATACTAAGAGCAGCAGGGGCTATCTTTTTGTCCTTCTAATTAGCCTTACGTTTCTTTTTTTTTAAGATTTATTTTTGTTTTTGTGTGTGTGTTCCATGTGGTTACATATATGTGTGCACAGGTACCCATGGGGGTCAGAGGCATCAGATCCTCTGCTATGTGTGCACAGGTACCCATGGGGTCAGAGGCATCAGATCCTCTGCTGTGTGTGCACAGG